TATGGTGCACTTATAACTTATTTTAAGTCACCTAAGTTCTAATGGTAATATGTTTTTTCTTCTCTATTTGATGATCTTAGGGAAAAGAAATATGTTAGTTGGATCAAGAAACATCTATGACATGGTAAGGATTTAATCATGAGGTTGTTTATTTATTTGACTTTTGATAATATCCAAGACATGTTTATTCTTAATTTTCATTGGACCATGGAAGAATATTGGAATGAATCGATGTCCAGGTGAATTAGTTCTTTCTACAATCATTTTTAGAACTCTTTAAATGTTCTAATCTACAAATGCGAATACTGATCAAAATTTCACATATACTTGTAGGTGGTCAGTATTTACTTAAATGTAGGGAGTTTCGGCATTAGGAGAGTGAGAGCCTTCGATGATCTTCAATTAATGTGCATCTGAACTATATCCTAAATCTGACAATTATTTTAGGATGTGGTAAGATTCTGTCATACGGGATGATTAGTAAAAAATGATATTTCTTATTTCCAGGCAATATGGAAATTGGGAATGGGTATGGTGTTCCTGGTGGTGGTGCTTATTATGGTTTCTGAAGACGAGCATCATTACCTCCAGTAAGACTGATTCATTGCTATTTTGTTGATGTGCCTTCTCGAAATTGTTCTAATTTGATCTTTTCTGATTTTCAAGCAGATCATGTCCTTGGCCATTCAACAAATGAGTCCAACCCAGAGTGCAGTGGGGATTCTAGATGTAATTCTGCAACTAAAGATTTGCCTGAATTTCTCAAAAAGAAATTGAGAGCTAGGGGTATTCTGAAGGGCGATCCAACAATGGATTCCACCCCGCCTTCCAATGTATGCTAATATCTTCTCCTCTGGCACATATATATTCCTGTTACTTCCATTAGGAATTCAGGATCTGGTTTTTGTCAATATGTTTTGTTTTTAACTTTTTGCTTGAAACATATACCTAATTACCTATATTCACTAATCTAAAATTATTCAATCTAGAGATCAGACATGTTGCCATCTCAGAAGATGCTGCTTTTAGAATTGCCTCCCGGGTGGGTAAGTAATTAGGTGCTCTTATTATGTGCACAGTTTTTTCTTTTTGTTGCAAGGACCGTCCACCTATCCAAGTCATGCTAACAGTAGTGGTAAATAAAACTTGTACTATGGTTAAAAGTTGACAATAAGAACATTTAAAAATATAACCGCGATCTGCGATCCACCTATTGTTCTACAATCATTTTTAGAACTCTTTAAATGTTCTAATCTAGAAATGCGAATACTGACCAAAATTTCACATAAAACGATCCGACCTGCGATCCACCTATTGTTATTCTCCTGCTTCTGATATTCGTGTAATTTCTGATTGTATTTTTGTATTTTTAACTAGTTTTTATTAGTTGTAGTTGTGGAAATTACACACTTTTGGTGTAATATTTTATTTTCATTTTTATTTGTAATTTGTTTAGATTAGGATTATTCTGAGCTAAACAGGTCAAAGATCATCGAAGGGATCAAGATTGGACCTTAAAAGAACAAGGAAAGTGCAAGGAGACAAGAAAGATTTTGATTTGGAAAAAATACTCATGTACCCGGTCGGGTATTGCCTATATCCGATCGGGTATTCACTTGATTCGATTGTCCAAATCAAATCCGGGAACAAATGATCGTGGGAGCAAATTTTCGTGAAGATTTGTCACATACCCGATCGGGTATGCCGACATACCCGATCGGGTATGCCCAGAAAAGTGACTTTCTGGGCAATTTCCTAAGATACCCGATCGGGTATCCTATATACCCGATCGGGTATCAGACCCTGCAGCTCCCAAAAGCCTATAAATACACCCCTTTCCTTCACAATAAAATCACCAATTCACATATACTCTTTAGCTCAGTTTAGATTAGTGTTTTCTTTATATTTTCTATCATGTTTAGTCTCCAAATGAGGAGCTAAACTCTTCCGTCTTGGTTTTGCTACTTTGAAGCTTAATGAATTTGTAAGTTGTGAGTTATTCTCTTTAATCTTCTTCCTTGAATATTAATTCTTCCTTTAAATACTATTTCTATATCAATGTTGGGGAGTGTTACTAAGATGACAATTAGTTAACATCTTGACATTAGTTATAGTAATAATTATTTCTTCCTCTACGTTAATATTGGGGAGTGTTACTAAGATGACAATTAGTTAACATCTTGATATTAACTATAGTAGGATTCATCTTCTTTAATATTCTTTCTTGAGTATTAATTAATTCCTATTCATATTTCATATTAATATTTTGAACATTACTTAAAGGATCAACTAGTTTTGTTTCATATATTAATTAATACTAGAATCGGTCGATTAATACGCTTGTTATTAATTCGGTCCTTTCATGGTAGTAAACTTGGATTATTAATGCATGCATCTCATGGTTAATAATCTAAGGGGAATTAATTATATTGATTAAACCAATAAACCGCTTGTGTTGAGGTTATCAATCTCAATCGTTTTCATCTTAAGTTTATTGCTACTATCAAGTTAATATACGGCGCTTGTTCTATATTGACTCGATAGTAAGTTTTATTAATGAACGCTTCTCGTTATTAATAACTACCCTCGATGAACTGGATATACTCCTCGATTGAGTATTCGAGAGGAAGATAGTTAAAGATATAACCGGGATCGACGAACATTTCATTAAGTGGATAAAAGCAAAGCCAAGTCTTCTTCTCATTAATTAAACTCATTTAAGTCATTCATCTTAGTGTTAATTAAATCAAATCAAATATAAAACCCCCCTTTGTTACTAGTTAATTAAAAAGAGAAATATTCCTTTCCCTGTGGATACGAACCTTACTTCGCTATACTACGTATTATTAGTGTCGTATTGATATTTATTTTGAGTGCACCTCACGACAAGTGCACGTCAGCTTCCATCAGGTTTTTCAGTTCACATTTGCTTCAAGAAAATGGAAATTATGCACCTATATAAGAATGGCATGCATCAATTGTACCAATTATTAATACTCATCTGGATATTGTTAGCCGAGAGTTAATCCAGTCAATAATCAAATGAAATAAATTTCCTATTTTGATTTGTTTCAGACTTGCAATGGAATTCAATTAGGATTTTTTCAGTTCATAGTTGCTTCTGAAAAAATGAAATTCTATAGTTGCAGACGGATAATGACAATCATCAATTTTTTTAAGAAAAAATTTTACTTTTCTGAATATTACTAGAAGAGAGTTCACCTAGTAAAAAAAGTTCTTGTTTTGAATGGTACAATTTTACAAAATACATAGCGGATTCACAAAGTTGCCATTTAGTTTGTACTCCACATTTATCATTAATGAGTCTCATTATAGTTTTAGCATGGTAAGATTTTTATGTTATATATGTAGTCAATATGATTTCTATTCTCATATTTGATGGACACTGTTTTCATAATAATCATTATCATTGACAATTTTGACTTTTGTTAGTTTAATCTTATTTTTTATGATGTTTATGTACTTGTTGATTATTAGAATTTCTAAGTTAAAAACTATGTAGGTTATGCTCAATCAGATATTGATAAAGACTTGCTTTATTGGATGTTGGATGCGGATGGTGATGCGAGGAATAATGATGTCTACGTGTACAAATAAAAATGTTGGAACCGATTAAAGTGTAGATTTATAACATATTGTAATATACTTTATTGACATTGACACTGTAAAGTAATTTGAGTAATAAATACAAATGTTGATCTTTTATTTTGATTATTTATTAATACTTCTATAATGTATAATAGTATTAGTAAGAAATAATATAATGATTATAATAATATTAGTATCAAAATATGACATCAATGTATCATAAATTTTTATGATACCAATGTGTCACAAAGTCTAATGATACCAATGTGTCACAAAATCTAATGATACCAATGTGTCATAATCTTGTATCACATTAATCTGTCACAACTTACTGACACTCTAATGTCTTACGATCAGTGATACTATATTTAGTGTCACTGGCCGCCACTTTTCCCGACGCTTTTTTAGTGTCGCAGAAACTTTCAGTGACACTAAATTAGTGTCATTATAAGCCCTTTTTCTACTAGTGACACTCCCCAACATTAATAGAGAGATAGATTAAGGGAAGAATTAATATTCAAGGGAAGAAGTACGAAAATAACTCACAACTTCAACATTCAACAAGCTTCAAAAGCAAAACCAAGAAATGTGAGTTTAGCTCCTCATTTGGAGACTAAACAATGCTAGAAAAATATAAATAAAACACTATTCTAAGTTGAGCTTAAGTATATGGAAGAAGGAATATCAAAATGAGAAGCAAATAGGGTGTATTTATAGGTGTTTTGGTGAGGTTTGGTAGAATATCCGACCGGGTATTCGACCAAATCTGATTTTCACACGTTCTCTTGCTTTATTTGATCTTGTAAATCTCCGGGTCAAGTCATACCCGACCGGGTATTGATAATACCCGACCGGGTATGACACCAAATCACATTTTTTGCATGATTTCTTACTCCCTTGCACCTTTCTTTGATCTTGTAAGATCTCTCCCCTGATCCTTTGTTGATTGTTGATTGATTCTTGCTCAGAATGATTTTAAACTTACTAAATTACAACCAACTAGAAAAATAAAATGATTGCACCGTAAATGTGCGATTACCACAACAACACACCGTAAAAACTAATTAAAAGTAAAAATATAAACACTCAAAACTAATGCAACCAGTTATAGTAGTTCATAGCACGTTCCTGACCGGGAGATATGGGGGCACACTGTTAACATCATCAACACAAGATGCACGTGGGAAATTATTTCCACTTGCATTTTGTGTTGTTGATTCTGAAAATGATGAATCCTAGAAATTAAATGATTTTCTTAAATATTAGAGAAGCTTTTGGTTATAGTAATGAAATGGTGGTTATTTCTATTAGACATGACAGCATGGCTAAACGTGTGATAGAAAGGTATTACGAATTTGGACATGGGGTATGCATTTACCATTTGTTTAACAATCTCAAGACAAAGTTCAAAAGAACAAAAATGAAAGACAGTTATTTTGGAGAACACAAGCTTACCAGAGAGGATTTTGACTAGAACATTGAGGAACTAAAGAAGATTGAGGAATTTTAAGAGTCGTTTTTGCTTGAACATAAACAGTTCGTAAGTCTTCTAAACTAAAAAGTGTGCCCCTTCGCTGATTACTTAAATCAAAGCGAGAAAATGGACAACTTTTCAAAATTGCCAGAGGAATGTATCTCTGAAATTCTTTCCTTAACTTCGCCGGCGGATGTATCCGCTTCTTCTACCATTTCTAAGCGTTTCAAATCAGCATCCGACTCCGATATTGCTTGGAACAAATTTGTGCCGTCCGATATCGACGACATCATTTCCAAATCATCCACTCCATTGCCCTTTGAGTTACCGCCGCCGTCCAAGAAGCATCTATTTCTCAGCCTCTCCGATAACCCGATTGCCCTTGATGCAGGCAAACAGGTGGAATTATTTCTGTTTCTGCATTTTTACATCTGGTTTTGGATCTTTTAATTAAATTTATTTTAATTACCTCATATTAAAACTTGAAAACAGATGTTTTATCTGGACAAGTGTTCTGGCCAGAAATGCGTTATGATTGCGCCCGCCGAGCTTGCTTTCTTTGGGACCAATGTTAGGGACGAGTACCCGATAAGCAGACCCGACCCAAGCGCCAGGTTTATTACCTGCAGGCAAATGCTAGCAAATTAGACTCGATTTTCTTCCCAAAATTTGACTAAACAGAGGAAATATAGGTTTTATGCACTAAAACCCCCTTGTGATATACGTACTTACTCCTTCCGTCCCAATATAAAAGACACACTTCTCTTTTCAAGCCGTCCCAATATCAAAGACACATTTCTCTTTTTGACAAACAAAACAGTGTCAAACAGTGACAAACAGTGTTCAAACAGTGTTCACCCTAAAAATGTGTGAAAACGCAAATGTGCCTTTTATATTGGGATGGAGGGAGTATAATATAAGAGGGTTTTCTTGTGATTTAAAAAATGTGTCAAACTCTCTTGCGCTATAATATTTTTTGTGTTATGTTATTCATATGCAAAACTCCTTTCCCAAGGAACAATCTATTAAGAAAATTATATGGAAGTACCTCATCTTAATATTATGAGTGAATATGCAAGTAAATTTGTCAAGGTCGCTAAATTATAAAAATTATACTAATTATATTGATTTAATTGGAAATTAAGAGCCCGTTTGATAACATGAGAATCGGCTGATCCGGCTGATTCAATTGAAATTAATGAAGTTCTGTCTGAAATGACTACATATTCTTCTTACTTAAGCAAAAATATTATTAAAATATATTTTATTAAAAAGTAAAGATAAAGTTATAGAGTATATGTAAAAATAGCTAAAATGGTCATCTACAGTAACTTCAACCTTACTTTTTCTTATTGTTACACAATTCAGCACACGGAAACAAAAGTTACGTGTTTGATGAAAAAGTTGGTTGGGTATTCCACCTACTTCATTACTTGTATTGTTGAGGCTTTGACCTTTTATTTGATTAATGCTAATTAAGTTGATTTCATTCAAAACAAACAATTAAGACTTACATAAGCCGAGAAACAGTGTTACCAAACGGCCTCTAAATTTGTTATTGTGTCGAATTATAACACACTTGTGTTTGGTGCGCTTTTAAATTAGAGGAGGCTAATGCATCGAATTTATAAATCACAGGGGGATTGATGGATTAAACCACTTAATCCTATTTTAGAAATTTGTTTATGTTTTATTTCAATTTTGAGTATGCATCTTAGAAACAGTAATTTCTCAAACTCCTCAAACCTTATTATTACTAAAATTGGTTTTTTGTGTGTATTGTCCCATTTTTCCATGTTTGCATGCAATTCCAACATAGATACATTTCATCGATGGTTGATTTTCTCTTAGCTTATTAATACTACTAGTTTATACACACCATTGCATGACTAAGTAAATGCCCAATATGACTAATGAAATCGTCTCAAGTACATACATAAAAGCCTTTTTGTACTTGGCGTCTTGGCTTGCCACTATCCCAATTCTGAATCAGAATGAGATTCATATTGATCGGGTTTAATTGCAAACTTACTCAGCCAATCATGATTGGAACACGTACTCGTTTTTTATCAGGTCTGATCTCAGCTGTTCCTAAATAGGATTATACGAGTAGGTTTTGGTCTAATTCTTTTAAGGTTATGGAAACAGCCATGGATAATAATCAAAATATGTAAATTTGAAAGTACCCTGAAGTTGAATTTGCTAAAAAAAGGCTATTGTAGCTTCCTTTTTACACTTTTTTTTACTCCGTATTATTAAAAGAAATGGAGTATTTGTAGTACTATTTTTCATAATTCTTTACATTCGACCAAATTTATCAGTTTTAGACAGAGTTGTAGAAATTTTACTAGGTTTAATTAGAGTTTTAAAATTTCCAAGACATTTGTATTTAATTAGTAAATATTCGCTCTCTCACTTTATGTGTGTGTATATTGTCGTGTCCATAGGTTCAAGGAAGTAGCTGAGCTCATATTGAATTTTGGTGTGTTTGACATTTGCTTCAAAATGCCAAATCAAATGTTGTTATCCAAGGAAACACATTATTCATGTTATTTGATGTACAAAGAAGAAGATGAATATCACTCTGGGGATATTGAATATAGTGATTCAACCATTAACGCCCTTAACGATGTCCCTATAATTGGACATAACAAAAGGGTTGGAAAGGACGGGTGGGAGGAAATAGAAATTAAATCCTTCTTCAACAACGGAGCAAATGACGACGATGAGGATATACGAGCGTCTGTTGGTGTTGGTTGGGATTATGAGTTTATGATCATTCAAGGTGTCGAGTTTCGGCCTCGTGATGTTCTGAGAAAAGATTATAGCAGCTGTTTTCCTGATTTATTCACATCAATATTAAGGAAATTCAAACTTGGTAAATTCCCTCCAGGGATGATGGATGACCTGGATGAGCTACTCAACGAATTACATTTGGACTGAAGCTAATAACATGCCCTTGACATCCAAGGATATGAACTATATTTTAAGCTTCATTTCATGCCATTTTCCTTTAGACCAAAAACAGAGACTAGAGTGTTGCTCGTCAGATTTTGAATGGATTTTATGTTTATTGCCAGTTGTTATTTGAACAATATTATGTTTATCACTATCTCTTGGATCACTACTTAATAGTTGACTAGTTGTAAGTTAGTTTTAACTTCCTCTCTGTAAGACTCATTTGGTAGTTCTGTAAAATAATTATCTTAAAATATTACGTACTACTTCGCAATTCATCCATAATCCGTCTCATTGAAGATCTATTCTTAACTAGGTAAGTAAAACACTACAACAAAAATGACTTTTCGTAACACTTTCTTTGTAACACTTAATTTTTTGTTGCATATTTCATTCAAACTCAATTTTTTGCAACACTTATTTATAAAGGTTGCATAAACACTTTAGGTATACGTTTATGCAACACTTAGGATAAAATGTTACACGTATTTTAATAATATGTAACACTTATATTAAAATGTTGCAATAACTAATATGCGGAGTACTCCCTCCGTCCCTTATAACTTTGCCAACTTACCTTTTTTGAATGTCCCACTAACTTTGCCACTTTCCCTTTTAAGTAAAGAATTTGTGGTTCCAATTAATTCTCTCTCCTCTGCACAAACCTCAACCACACAGTTTTTACTTTATTAATCCCCGTGCCAGTCAAACTTGGCAAAGTTATTAGGGACGGAGGGAGTATAATATTGTACTGGTAAGTTGTAACGAATTGCTTGAATTTTTGCAACATATTGGTTGGCCTAGGGCCTGGGCACCTGGCACCCCATTTTAATAGAGTATTACAAATAAAAAGACTTATTATTCACTCCGGAGTCCAGACCACCAAAAAGAAGCCCAATGAATCGAAAAGGCGACGAAGAAGCTTACCGGCAGAGACGACACGGTCATCGATCGACCAGCCTTGTGCCGATCTTCCATCTCCTCACGCTCGAGAAATCGAAAACGCAACGATAATCGACCAGCCGTGTGCCGATCTTCGAAGAAACCTCGCGCCGCTAAAGAAATTACAGACAACTCTCACACCGCCTTTACGCAGGTAACTTCTATTTTCTTTTTCTTTTCTTTCAGATCTATGCGATGTAGTCATCTGTCCTTTACTAATCTCTAACGAACATTATTCGTCGCAAATCATTCATATGCTCCAGATTCGTTTATTTCTTCTGTATTTCAGTAAGCCAAACCGTTCTTTATTTGTGGATTTACTATACAAGTCTGGATGAGAATTCTGATTTCAAGCTAGGCTTTGTTTATATACGAATACGATTATTTTAGGTGGCCACTTCATTGATTTATATGCTACTTGTTGATCTCCTTTAATTGATTTACTTCCCTAGAACTTTTTTTGTGGATTTGTTCATTATGTTTGATTTCAGAAAATTTAAAGGTTCGGTTTTGGTTTCCTCCCTTTCTTTATTAATGATGCCAATAAGGTGTTTGATGAAATGTATGAACAAAAAACTTCTGTGTTTTTCTTTTGTTTTTAGATGATTTAGGAGGGATTTATGTTTATGTATAAAAAAGGAGAGATTTACGTTTCTGTATTTTATTATGGAGTACGACTTTACCCCAATGGATGAATTATAAGCTATTAATTTTTTTAATTGATTCTTTCTTTAGGTCAAGGAATTATTAACAAGGTTCATGACTTTTTTTTTTAGCTTGGAGCTGAGCTGAAGTAAGTTTCTTATCATTCTTAATCAATCAAGTTAATGATATATATTGTAGTATTAAAAAAGATATACATCCTATCGTGTCTAATAATTATACAACTATATATTACTCCGTAATATTTTTCATTCTCAAGGAGGGAAAATGATTTCCATCATTTTCAATGGAGGCAAAGACTCACTATTTTTTGCTTGGGAATATGATGGAATAAAGCAAAACGGCTCACTAAACTGTCTGCGATTCTTTGTCATGAAGTAACAGTCTGCTTATTCAATTTTCGACGCGATTTTCACTATGGGTCATTCGGTAACAGTCTCTCTGTGCTTTAGTATAGGGGTAAGACTGCGTACATCTGACCCCTCCTACCCCACTGTAGGTGGGAGCCTTTGCGGCACTGGGGTAATGATGAGGAAGGAGAGAAAATGAAGATTTTCATCTTATTAGTTTACCTAACCTATTAGAATATATAATCACTAGTTCTGAAATATATAGTATTCTATTAGTAATATTAGAGTGTATATGCGTCTTCACTCTTCAATATATTCACTCTCATCATCTTTTTCAGTTATTGATGGTTCACGTAGCTCGTGCATAAGCAACAATGTTTTATACGGTAATCTATCTCTTCTTGCACCATATGCTTTATCTCAGGTCAGTTGCATAGCTACAAACTATTCTAATGTAATAACTTTTACATTTGTATATCACTATATGTCTATATCTCCTACTGAGAAGTCTTATTCTAACAGGTGCTAAGTATTCATTTTGCTATTATTGAGTTTTGATTAATATTTACTATTTGTTGCTTTTGTATTTAAATTACAATGAGGTGAAAAGTTTGGTGCTTCTCTTTTCAAGTCTAAAAAATCATGGGCTAATCAGTGGTGCATATGCATCTAGAGAACAAGTAATTGACCTTTCCCAAATGATAGTAATTTGTAATGTTCCCATTGCTTGATGTGTGCTCTTTGATTGGCATATTTTTTTGCCTGATAAAAAACAGATTTGTTTTTGCACCTGGGAAAATGTTATCCGATACACATGGTTTAGTTTGCAAATGGTTGTTGTCTTTGAATGGCTGCACAATTTTTAACTTTTTGGTTTTCTGTATTCAGTGAAATTTTGTGCCAATATAATACATGTACCGTCAAGCTTCTTATTCAGGTGAAAAAAACTCAATCATATATTGTCTTACATAGATTTTACTTTCTTGGATAATAGATAAGGAGTGTGACTTTTTGATTCTTTCAGATTGTAACTTTTCTAAACATCTTGATCTTTTCGGTAATTAGATAAACATCTTCTAGATTCTCCATACACGGTTTACTTGTGGAGTCATAATTCCAAGTATAATTTTCATGGGATCGCACATGTAATGAAATTAGACTACTTTAAAGTAAAGGTATGGCCTTAAGTATTTATAAAAACTTATATCAAACGTGTACTCATTATTTAGGATATTGGTATATATGACTTGATAAAATTAGTTTGGATTTTGGATTATATGATGCATAAGTAAACTAATTAACTGGGTCTTATAGGCTGTTCATACAATATATGATGTTTGGATTTGGTTAGATTACTTGATAAATTATGTACGTTAATAACTTGAAGTTGTTATCTGATTAACTTGATAACTCTTGGAAGTTACAAGTTGTTCATTCGTCCCTTCTTTACTGATGTGTGTTATATAAAAAATTTAAAATTTTTTTTTTATTATCACTATATTTATTTTTTCGTAATTCCTTTTATTTAAACTCTGATGTGTTTATTTTCTGTTTAGTTATTTATTTTATCTTTATATTTCTCTCGCAGGGACATAATAGTAGTGATGACGGTCTTCCTTAGGAAGATGAGGATCCAGGAATCAAGCATATATAATGGAGGCATTTATTGTTTTTAGATCCTTGTTCACTCACAAGCGTTTTAAGATGTATTTTGGATTTGTAGTTCATTTCCTACAATGTAAATTTAGGTTACTCCTATCGATATGGATGTAATTATTCTTTTAAGATGTTGCTTTAGTGCGTGATACAATTAAACTTTCATCGATGTTAAATATTTAATACCCTTAATATATTAATATATGTTGAAATGTTATTTTATGTGATTTGCATAATATTTAAAATAAAACTCAAAGGCCATCTATTAATTGTTTAAAAATATTAGAACAGGTATTGGCCTATTTGCATATTAATGACGAATATGAACTGTATGCTACATAAGCTAATAAAGACCGTTGCCTAAAACGCTATGAAAGTGTTGCATAAAAAATTGCTATAAATGTTGCATTATATAAATAAATGTTGCAAAATCCCATTACAAAAATGTTACATAAATAAGATTGATGTTGCCTAAAGTCATCTTTTTGTGTTGCATTTTGTTTAAAAAAGTGTTGCATATGGTGCAAGTTAAATTATTGAAAAAAGTGTTGCATTTGGGTTATTTTTGCAACATTTATATAAAATGTTGCAAAATATATTAAAAAGTGTTGCATAAGACTTTATGCAACGAGACCTGAAGCAACGCTCATATAAGTGTTACATTAGCCTTATGTAACATTTTAACAGTTTTATGTAACATTTTACAGGCGTTGCAAAAGCTTCATTTTGTTGTAGTGAAATATGAATGTAAAATAGTTTTTGCAGATTAGAAACAAATATGTTTAATTACAAATTCATTATTTTAAAAGAAAATTAAAATGATTTGTTTTAAAACGAAAGTTTTAACATGTAAATAATGATTAGTTTACAAATAATGTAAAATGAAAGTTTACAAAATCTATTGAAATGGAAAGGTACTATAATTAGTTAATGTAGAAAATAATTCATTAGTGGCTTAGTCATCTTAATGATTTGAGTACAATATTAGAGCATCTCCAATATAACGATATGCTTCTTCGTATTTATTTTGCAACTTGACTTGCCATGTCGGTTATTAGTGGCTTAGTCATCTTAATGGTTAGATATAAATTTATTTTGCAACTTGATAGGCATGGTAGCGGATATTTTTATTAAATCCATAAAACATACTATGAATTCATATTTTCTAATTTAGTGGGCAACTTCTTCCAAAAAAAAAATTAGTGGGCAACGCTTTGGGGAGGAAAGTTTGAATAGATTATATGTAATTCAGTAATAAATAGATTTGTTGCGTTTAAGAATTCTTTTAAAACTATTTTTGAAATAAAAAATTCAAAAAAATATGATTAAAAGTTATGATAGTACTGTGTTATTGTTACCCATTGCCAATGTATAGAAAATAGTGTTATATTTATTGTGATTAAAGTTAGGGAAAATAATTAAAATTTCCCAAATTTTGAAGAGTCGAGGGGTGTGAGGTAAACACCCCAAACTTCCATATGTAATTGAAATACTCCAAATTTGTATAAAAGTTATTTAATCACCATGATTATGTATTTTTTCTTTCAAAAATGTGTTATCATTACATAGACTGGGGTAATATTATTTATTTCACAATGGAAGTTAAGAATGTTAGTTGTGTCTTTACGAATGTTAAATTATTTTAAATGACGCAATTAACTCCATACATT